AACTGAAGAAGTATGGGGGCACAGCTCCTGACATAATCGAGGTACTCACGATTATTCGATCCAACTACCTTGCGGCATTTCTTCTTAGTATAGTAGAATTTGTGTAGACCATTAGAGACGGTTAAGCCAGAGCTACAAAATGTGTTGGGTGTCGTATGTTGGTCCGCTTAAAGGTGGTTGTGGTGCCTCTTCTGCGCAGAATTGGTACCCCTTTCGCTTCTTCCCAGGGCCATTCGAACCAGAGTGCGAAGCAGGCCACAGTGGCGCTAGTCAGACTGCCGTCCGTTGGGAGAGCGACCAGGCATTGCATGAAAGGGTACACCCGCTTGTGCACACTGGAGTTTCTCTTCATACATCCTTAATGTGGAAACGCGGGGCTGAGAAGCAGGGTGGTGGACCTTTCCGATATGCGGCATGGCTGCGTTATCTTCCTGAGCTGCGCTTGGCCCCAGCGACTGTAGAGTGGGCAAAAGGCATGCTCAGTACCCGTCTACAAGGATGCCATGATTTTCTGGTTCAGCATCTTAGAGGTAGCGAATCTGCTGCAGCAGGGGCAAGTGCAGATTTGCCTGTGGACAACGATATCGCTGGAGAAACGCCGAACAGCCTGTCCTCCGATAAAGCACAGCAGGAGCTTTTAATGAATAAAGAGGCTGATTCCCAGCGTGTAGGTGATCCCTCTATCGTTCCACCTCCAGCTGCAGACGCCCCAAAAATCCCAGACACTTGGGCAGTGCAACGCGGTCCCCCACGAGAGTCGTCAGTCGATACCGTTTCGTCGACGTCTCCTCTGCATAAGTGTGCGCCAACGCCTTTGCCTGGGACGCATACAACCAGTTCCTGCTTGGATGCCAGTTTCACAGCGAAGGGTTTAGTTGAAATCACTACATGGTCGTCAGTATCAACCCTGGTGGGAAGCGGGGGATTGAAGGGTGTCAGCACAGCAGCTGAGCTGTCCGCTCTATGCAGTTCAGGTCCCTACACGCCAGCTGAACGTTTTCAACTGCCATTGCCACATGCCGCCCTTGCACGGCCTTCAGCGAAGGCGGATTCCGAAGGGCAATGCGAATACAGGTCTAGCACGATCGGCGCTCCAGAGGAGTTTCACGCGCGGCAACTGCACTCAATTCCTCCCAGCAATATGGCTTCGGGTGTCTCAAGGTCCGGTGCATGCAGCACCTCGACACCTGAAGCCCAAAGGCAAGTTGTATGTTATGAGTACGTCACGAGTTTGGCTTCACGATTAGACCTTCTGGGAGGATCTGGTAGGAGCGCCACTTCAAAGAAGACGCGTGGGGCACCACTGACAGAAATGCAGCCTAAACAATGCAGCGCGTTATCTACCGCTGCTTGCAATGATATGCGAGACGCACAGGAAATCGAACGAACAAATGGCAGTCTTTCCCGAACGGTGTCGACAAATCTGCACAAAAATAAGCAGGAGTCTCATGGGTGGAGTCTCGAGTCTGACTCGAGGATTGATATTGAACGCTCAGCACCCCTTTCGTCAGCCGCCAGACGAAATCGACGTTGTCTACGGCGCCTTGAAGGACCGATCCAGCAGCAAAAGTCCAGCTGTGAACTTTTGTCGATGTCTTTCCGCAGCCATAGCAACACATTTCTTGGTGGCGTAGGAATCGGTGAAGGTGTGGGAATACGACGGTGCCCAGCCCTGAGGAGACGCCTAACAGATTCCTCAGGTTGTATTCGTGGTTCGCCGATAGCAAGCCGGTCTGCAGCGCGTACTTCAGCAAACATGAAGGCGGTGTCAGGATCATCGGGGTGCAGGACACTCTGCATCTCGTCGGCGGTGGAGGAACAACGACTGTTCAAAGGGGCCCAACGAAAAGCAACGTTGCCGGCAGTGCAAACCGGGCATGTGTTTGGTAGGAGCCAGCGGATGCGACTGAAAGAACCGAAGCAGACGGCGCCGGTGCTGTCACCTGAGCCTCGTTTTAACGTGCTTCACACGCAACCTCTGGAGGTTTCAAGCTTCTTGGCGGAACGACCCATCGCCGTGTCACCCTCCTCTAAGGCACAAGACCATCCCTGCGCGTCCCAAGGCAACGCCATTGCCATTCATTCGCCCCAATCGGAAGTTTTGAGGGCTGATTCTGCGCATTCGAAGCACAATGTCCTTCCGTTGGGAAAGGCAAGCGCTGACAGAAGCTTCATGATGGCCTACGATATGAAGGCTGAATGCTGCGAATTTCCTCAAAGCGCGAAGGCACAGAATTTGGGCAAAGAAGGGGGTTCGCCACGATTGCACGAAGTCGGGCTCTCCGCCCTCAATGGACGTTCCATGAATAAACAAATACGAGGAAGAGGAATGCAGTTAAACGCCGGAATAGTGCAAAGTGGAGGAGGGGTTTGCTGTAGCGGCAGTGGCAAGCCACGACGGGCCCTAGGGAGGATCCTTCCGCTATTCCTTTTGGCGGCTACCGCAGTGAGCCTCGTGCTGTGTGCAGGAGCTTCTGTTCCAGCAGGTCTGGGCCTTGACTTGCTGTTGCATCCGTGTTGGATAACACGGAAGTCAATCCGGCTGTCTAATCGAGTGGGGCTAAAAGGGGAAACCACAGCATCAACAATTGGCAGGAGCTTGGCTATACACGGGTATGGGAAAGCACTAAACTCAACATTTCAAAAACTTGGGTGGAAGAAGGGGAGCGCCGTAGCAAGCTCAGCATTCCACTGGGGCTTATTCTCCGAAGGGGAGCATGATTTCAGGCCCCCTAGACAGCAAGGTGCTAGGAGGCAGCCATTGTACAACAGAGTTTCAGGAACTGCCAAAACCACCTTCTTCTCAGGTGAGGTGCTGCCGGCGAAGCCATTTTATAGTGTTGCACGAGGTTTGCTGTTCAGTGCTTCCCGGTTGAAGCGTCCCATCGAAGGTGAGGAGACTGGCCATCCTTTGTCAGCAGTTCCATGCAGCCTCTCCATGCGTCGTGCAGTTCGCGTTCCAGCAGTAAAACAGAAATCCAGAGGTTCCATTGATAAGCGTTTCAAGGTTACTGCAACTGGGAAGCTGCTCTACAGGCGACCTGGACGGCAACACCATGCGCGCACAAAGTCTTCAGCACGACGTACAAGACTCCGGCGTGTGGCGGCATTGAAGCCAAGCCAGATATCACGACTTCTGGGGCCCCTTAGGGTGAATCGTTAGATGTGAGTTTGTCCAAGGGTTATCCTCCATATGGCGTGGATATATTAGTCTCTCTGCTGGGGCTCTCACCGTTTCTCTTGCGAGCTTGGTAAGACCTATGGTAAGGTACTTGCCTAGTTACATATGACAGGACGTTCGGACTCTGTTTGGCGTCTGCAATTGGTGCGGAGAGTTCTTGAGGGAATGTTTCCCCCTTATGCGGTCGGCAGAGCTTCGTTTTGGCAGCTGCGTACGTTCATTCCAAAGATTTTTCTGTGCGAAGCCTATTTCGTGGCTGAATTTGTCATGTTTCGGCTCATCAAGGCCAAAACACCAGACTTGGCATGTGCATGGCATGTGCGTGACACAGTTTTGGCTCTTAACGGGTGTCCTTTCCAGAAGTGCAACAATTTGATTGTGGAACATACTGGTCGGTAATCGGAAAACGGCTTAATTGGTGACCACTTAGCGGCAAACTTGTTGCAAAACTGCAGTGTCCGACAATTCACAGCTCTTGGAAGGTCATCCGTGAGTGCACGCATTTGCAACCGCTCCGCGGATTGGGTTGGTGCTGTCCTGATGCCGAATACAGTACAAGGACAGCAGTTCGTTGCTTTGTGGCAGGGCTGCAGTATCAGTTTGCAAGTACTTAGAGACCTGTTTAAAATGCATGCTGCTACTAGCGGGTGGCGTTTGCCATGTTGAAAGGAGCGCCAGAATACCGACAAAAAGGGGCGGCAGCACGGTGACAGGAATGCTCAGGATCAATGTAAGGCCCAGCGAAGCACTAGATTTTCACTTGCCGTACCCGCCGTACACACACGCAGCTCATTAGCGGTGGCATTTCTTCACGCACATTCGGCCAAATTTAGTTTCAAGATGGAGCCGCTTCTCCCGTGCAACCACCGCTAGAGCTGCAAACGCAAGGCCCCGGAAAATGCACCCTGTGGCAATACTGATTCCTCAGTGCGGCTGTACCTGTCCTCAGTCGATCAAACAGGCCGAACAACTGAGCACCGTGTGGGATAGTCGAACAATGCAAGCTAATAATGGCTCCCGTGTGCCAGCCACTTTACTGAGTCTGGGATGATAGTCCCGGTCCTCGCTGTAAGGCTTAGCCAGACAGGCTGGTGACAGTCTCGGTTCTAAGCCCGTCTACGGCTTTGAAGGCAAACGTCTGACGTACGCGAACTGCAAAATGCGCTAGTCTCATGGCTGCACGCTGGTGCAACGACCACCCCATCCATGCTTTTGAGAGGAGCTTCTACATTGTCCCACTACGCCGGGCCCTGCTTTGCATGCTCCGGGCAAGCACGAGCGTTCCGCGCCGAACGCGATCAGAAAAGGAAATTGGAAGCCGAATAAGACGCTTTGAAGTGCCACGCACGGCCGACAAACTCAGAGGTAATCTTTCATTACCTGTTGGCTCGGCGTACGCTTCGGAGTCACTCTTATTTGAACGCAGCGTGCTTCTACGGAACGAGAAGCGCGTGCTTGAAACTGTCTCACTGCCTCTGCGGTACAGGCTACCTCGCCTGTAATAATGTCGCTTGCCCCATGGCTTCGGAATGCCTCCTGAACAAGGGGTGGCAGTCGCATGAAAATCCAGTGAGAGCAACCGACGGCTTAGTCGTCGTCGCAATCCAATGCCATGACGCTTTTCCGGCTCAACCACATCAAACTGGTGTGCCTTTTCGGTCGTTTGCAATTGCTTTCCAGTGTAACGCCGGTACAGTCGCCCAGTAAGAGTTGCTTCTGGTGTCGCATCGTCGTGATCCAGTTGCTGCTTAGTTTCGGAACGTCGGTAAGTCCCCGACACCGAGCTATACAGTGCCCGCATCACACGCTTCAACCTTCGGAGCTCCATCACACGAGATGTTTGCGGCTCGATAAGCACTCCCACCGTTGCGCTGGGTTGTTCCTCCGGAGTTTTCGTGTGGGACTTCTCGGGCGGTGGGGGGGTTGAACCAAGTGGACCTGGATCCGTGTCCTTACGCATTTGACTGCCCGCATCATCCGTCCGCGACGTTGCTCCATCCTGGAAGTTAGACAGATCCTCACACACCAAGCAGGTCTCTGACAGACTGCTTCCGGTGAATGAGTAGACTGAAACACTGGGAGAAGGCTCAGCAGCAACCGGGGAAAGAAAATGCGTAGATCCTTGCACGCGCATCCTCCCGGCATCTACTTGTGAAACGGTTCTGGCCAACTTAGTATATTGCAATCCACGGTCGACGCGGTGCCCCATGCTTGCCTTTAAATCTGCTGTGTTATTTACTGCTGCCACTGCACGGGTATAGTGAACAGTTATTTGTGCCGTGCTCGGGCGAAGCGTGCAAGGCAGCCTCTCTGGCTTGGACGACGCCCTCATTGCATCACACGGAAAAGAAGGCGAGCTTTTGAACGCAGAGAGGTTCCACTTTGGAGAACCTTCACATGAGGGAGCGTTTTGCCAGGCGGCATTTGAGGGAGACCCCAAGGCCCTTTCAAGTGTGCCTGACGCTGAAAGCGATACCGTTCGGCAGGTGCCACCCAGGGACCCTGTTGAGTATGGGTGCTGCAAAGGAGGTGGGCTACCTGGCTGAGAAACCACTGTCTCAACTTCGACCTCTTGTTGGCAGCTGCTGCATACCACAGGATAAAAGGGAGCGTCAACCGTTTTGACTGTATTTCCGTCCAGCTGCCGACCAGCTGCTGCAAGTATTTGCCACCCATCCCTCCGACAAGAATGCTTGGGAAAGCATTCACTCGAGTGCTTCACTGTTGAATTGTTATGAAGAATGGGTTGATCTTCAGTTTGGGCGTCCGATTGGGCAGAGGAGACGTCCAGGTGCGAATACGGTCCCGCGGGCGCCGAAGTAGAAGCCTTCCCTGCAGTGCCTTGCATTCCCCAACAGGTAAACGACTGCGAAGACCGCGTATTTCGAGGTACATGTGGAACCTGGCCAGATGGCGCTTGCGGAGGGAAGTCTTTGGGCAGCCGTTCCACACGGGCTGGCGAGTCTTCTAACGGTGGTTCTCTTCTGTCAACACTGAGGAATAGAGGAGGGATTGAAGAAACATCATTGACGTTTTGGTCGGCCTCTCCAACAGATATTTGGGCTGCCCTTAGGGGACTGTGAATCTGCAGCCTAGGAGTGAAGACCGTGGTGTGATCCAGGGGGCATTCCCAGCACCGTCCATCAGCATCAACCACGGCATACGCGGGACTGTCTGGTGCCTTCTTGCTAAGGTTTTCCACTATTTCAACAGTCTTAATGCCCCCTGTCTTATCGGCCAGCGCCAACTGCGAGGGGCCTGCAAGCGGAAAAGGCAGCGGATAATGCGGAGTCAATGAACATGTTTGCTGCTATCCCGAAGCTGGAACCATACGAACAACAGCACATATATGAAAAGGTAGGCGCTTAGCGAACGGGACCCCCTGAAGGGGAAGCGCAATTCGACACTCACAAGAAGCCCGGACGGCAGGAAAAGACACAGTTGCTGATGTCTCAAATGGCGTACATTCCGAAGAATCCGGTGCCTCCAAAACTTCCGTCGCTTCCCCTTGCTGCACATTCTGCTGGGCCAGAGAATCATGGCAGCCTTGTAGACGGGTACTGAGCATGCCTTTTGCCCACTCTACAGTTGCTGGGGCCAAGCGCAGCTCAGGAAGATAACGCAGCCATGCCGCATATCGGAAAGGTCCACCTTGCTTCTCAGCCCCGCGTTTCCATATTAAGGATGTATGAAGGGAAACTCCAGTGTGCACAAGCGGGTGTACCCTTTCATGCAATGCCTGGTCGCTCTCCCAACGGACGGCAGTCTGACTAGCGCCACTGTGGCCTGCTTCGCACTCTGGTTCGAATGGCCCTGGGAAGAAGCGAAAGGGGTACCAATTCTGCGCAGAAGAGGCACCACAACCACCTTTAAGCGGACCAACATACGACACCCAACACATTTTGTAGCTCTGGCTTAACCGTCTCTAATGGTCTACACAAA